CCATCCGAATGTCAAATTAAGTAAAATTTACCTGATTTATTCACAATCTTTAACTATATTCTTAATAACTTTTACTAGATAATGATGAGTAAATATTACATGAATTTGTAGCATTTAAATTTACTTAACAAATGACAGTGCAAATTTGTTAGAGTATTTTTTTCAAGTAAATCTTACAAATTAATTTTTTCAGTGTACATACAGTACGTATCAAAATCAGGGAATTGTGTGCTAAAGGATGTTGAACAAATATTTGGCCCCTGTATAAATACTTTCGCCCCTTGATGACCCCTTACTCAGAAAAATTCTAGATCTGCCACTAATTTGCAGCACTCATTTTCAGAGACAATTCTTGTCTTCTTTGATATGATGCATGACCATTGGAAGAACTTGTTCTTGATCCAACATGGTGTGTCACACATTACCTCCTGGGGTGTTCAGATATGTCAYCTTCCCTTTTCCATACATCCATTCATTATTTATACCCACTTCCTCCTCTCAGGGTCACTGATGCCCATATCCAGCAGTCACAGTGTGACGGGCAGGGTAGCTTTACCCTGAACATGTCTCCAGTCCATCACAGAGACACATATAGAGAGACAAACGAGACAAACAACCATTCACTCTCTCACTCACACCTGTGGACAATTTAGAGTTATCAATTAACCCAACAGTCATGTTTTTGGTCTGTGGGAGGAAGCCGGAGTGCCCGGAGAGAAAATGCAAACTCTACCCAGAAAGGTCCCCGGGCCGGGATTTGAACCGGTGACCTTCTTGCTGAGAGGCATCAGCTCCACCAACTGAGTCACCGTGCCGCCCAGAGTTAAAAATATAAAAAATAGTTTTCAGTTTTGTAAATAAGAAGCAGCAGACTAAGCCCCAGGTTTCTTCAGCTCATTACATCAAAAACCAAATGACTGGAGAGTAATGAGTGGTCTTTCAGGCTCTGGTGATCTTCATCACTGTTATCAAAGTGAGGTTCATGTTTGGCTGCAGATGTAGGATGAGTCGGGTTATTTTGTTTTAGACTGGAGCAACAGTGACTTTGCTCAGGCGACTGAAAGAATATTATGACTGAAAYAACAAATGCATCTGTAAAAATAAAAGATCCAAATCATGCAGACTTTWGTGTCAGCGGCTCATTTAGTGCGTTAACCAGCAGGCAGGACTGGACTGCATGAAGAGAACAGTCCTGGTTGTTCAATCTGTGAGAAGAGGCATGAAAAACTAGATGTAGCATAGTGGTAGCATATATGACCCCTGCACATTCGCAAAGCTCCAATGCACCAGAACTCAGGACTCACAAGGGATGTCCCGATCCAGATTTTTTGGCTCCSGATACAATATGATTATTTTAAGGATTAATCTTTCCGATACCGATCCAATAGCTTCATTTCTTTCCAAGTGACAAGGTTGGTAGTATTAAAGCGAGCCCTGCTGCTCCCACCACGAGAAACATCCAATTTGCAGATTTTGCAAGAAGCAGTTTCATCATCATTGTTTTCTACTGAAAAGTGTTCCCACACTGTGGACATGGTTGCATACTTGTGTACGTCTCGACTTCTTAACGGCAGTTGTAAAGCATGATGATGCTGAAAACTGTCGCGAAATCTGGGCCCGATCACGACTACATCCAATTCTACCCGATTTTCAAAAAAAGGCCGTATCTGCCACCGATACCAATTCTGAGTATCTGATTGGGACATCCCTATGACTCACCAGAACAGATTCAGATATGGGTGGGGGGTTCTCATTGGTGGGCTGGATGGGCAGCCCTTCATCAGAGCTACACAACAAAAAATCTGAAGCTCCTATGTTGAATAGTTTTTGAGTTWTAAGCATTTTTGGGACTCCAGACACCCCCATTTTAGAGGGAGCCCCCTCCACAAATATGGGGTCTATTGTAAAACCGTTGGCTGATGCAGTGTAGGTCAGACTCAACTACAGTCCTACCAAATTTCATGTTGATCGGTGCAGCCGTTTCTGTGATACAGCTGACCAAAATTCATGAAAAAAAAAAACCGGTACGAAAACAATATGATCCCCTGCTTCGAGTGCGAGATTTACCTTCATARAAATAAATAACAAGCAAACAAATAAATAAATAGTCTTAGAAAACAAACATTTTATTGTTTTGTCTTGAGGAACAAAAACAATTTAAGATGGTTTAGGTCACATATTTTCACAGTAAAAGAAAACATAACAGTAATTAAAAAACAGTGTTTAACATCTGAACCTTTTCTCAGYGCTTCATCAAAACCAACATGTTTTTTTGTTAGTGCTGTGACTTCCTGCTGCTTACAGACCTGGAGGCTTTCCGGTCAGATCAAAGTCCAGGTTGAGGATCTTCGGCTGGGGGGAGGACAGTGCGGGTCCTTTGGGACTGGGGCCGGCTGAGGACGCAGGGGACCTGCAGACCACAGGGAAGACTGTAAMCACGCAGAGTCATGGCTCCAATCTTATTTGATTCGTTTACCAGATGAAAAACATTCACTTTTAACACAAAACTGATCTGTCAGATTTATTCTGTACATTTCATTTTACAGTTTCATCTCCAACGTGGACCTCAGTGCTCTCTGTTTGGACTTTATGCTGACCTGCGAGAGGAGGAGCTTTGGGAGAAGTTCCTCCTGGAGCTCCGCTGGCTGCTGACAGCGCAGGCAGGAGATGGAAGTGGAAGACTGGCCTGCAGGATAAACAGAAATGTAGTGACCTCTTCCAGCTTTACTTATCTGCTTTAAATAATGTTTGTTGTTAAACCTGCAGGAGAGACTCCTCCAGCACTGATCCGAGCTCACAACTGTCCTCCATGCCTTCGTTCAGCATCTTGTTGATATTTTTGTTAAACTCCTTTAACTCCTTCAGTTTGATGTCCTGCTCCTCAACAGTCTCAGCTTTGGTTTTCTTGRCTGAGTGGATTTCTTTGGTGAGTTTAGAGCACTGTTAAACAGCAGGACAACACCAAACGCAACGTTCATTCAGGGACAACGGCAGCACTTCTTCTGCTTCGTCTCTTGTTGCGAAATATTCTTATTAATGGGATCCCTGATCACTTGTAACATTAGACTTTATTTGAAAAACATTTATTTTAACTGTAAAATACAGACTAAAAATAGCGTAGGCTGTTTAGTTTTGTGAATTTTTAAAAATATATTTCAACACGGACAGAGCCATTTTATTTACACACAAAGCATTCTGGGTAAATGATGACATCAACTACGTCATCGGTGCGAGGCTGCTAACGAGCTATATCCACCCTGAAG